CTCAAGGCATCCGCCACCACATTGGCCTTGCCCGGGTGATATAGGATAGTGATGTCATAATCCTTCAGCAGCTCTAACCACCTCCTCTGACGCATATTGAGATCCTTTTGCTTGAGCAAGTGCTGCAAACTCCGATGATCAGTATAGATCTCACAAGGCACTCCATATAAATAATGACGCCAGATCTTCAAGGCATGAACAATGGCAGCTAACTCAAGGTCGTGGACAGGGTAATTCTTTTCATGTATCTTCAACTGTCTGGACGCGTAGGCAATCACCCTACCGTCCTGCATCAACACTGCTCCAAGGCCAACTCTCGAGGCGTCACAATAGACAGTATAAGACCCCGAACCGGTAGGCAACATCAAGATAGGGGCTGTAGTCAAAGCTGTCTTGAGCTTCTGAAAGCTCGCCTCACACTCCTCTGTCCACTGAAATGGGGCACCCTTTTGGGTCAATCTAGTCATAGGGGCCGCAATCGATGAAAACCCCTCCACAAAGCGACGGTAATAACCCGCCAAGCCAAGGAAACTGCGAATCTCTGTAGCTGAGGAGGGTCTGGGCCAACTCTGCCCGGCCTCCACCTTCCTCGGATCCACCCGAATGCCCTCACCGATACCACGTGGCCTAGGAATGCCACGGAACTCAGCCATAACTCACATTTTGAGAACTTTGCATATAATTTCTTCTCTCTCAGGGTCTGAAGCACTGTCCTCAGGTGCTGCTCATGATCTTCTCGACTCCGGGAATACACCAGAATGTCGTCAATGACAACAATAACGAATGAGTCAAGATATGGCCTGAATACACTGTGCATCAAATGCATAAAAGCTGCTGGGGCATTAGTCAGCCCAAATGACATAACAAGGAACTCGTAATGACCATACGGAGTCCTGAAGGCAGTCTTCGGGATATCTGGCTCCCGAATCTTCAACTGATGGTAACCTGAGCGCAAATCAATCTTGGAAAACACCTGTGCGCCCTGGAGCTGGTCAAACAGATCATCAATACGAGGCAAAGGATAACGGTTCTTCACTGTAACTTTGTTCAACTGACGATAATCAATGCACATACGCATAGAACCAGCCTTCTTCTTCACAAACAAGACAGGAGCACCCCACGGTGAGACACTGGGCCGAATAAAGCCCTTACCAAGCAATTCCTGCAATTGATCCTTCAACTCCTTCAACTCAGGAGGAGCCATGCGATACGGAGGAATGGAAATGGGCTGAGTGCCCGGCAACAGATCAATGCCAAAATCGATATCTCTATCGGGCGGCATGCCCGGAAGATCAGCTGGAAACACATCGGGGAAGTCCCGTACCACTGGAACTGAATCAACAGAAGGGGTATCAACACTGACATCTCTCACATAAGCTAAATACGCGGCACACCCCTTCTCAACCATACGCTGAGCTTTAAGGAAGGAGATAACTCTACTGGGAGTGTGATCTAAAGTACCACTCCACTCAATACGTGGAACACCTGGCATAGCCAGCGTCACGGTCTTGGCGTGACAATCAAGAATAGCATGATGGGGCGACAACCAGTCCATGCCCAGAATAATATCAAAGTCAACCATACCGAGTAACAATAGGTCCACTCTGATCTCAAAACCACGAATAGTAACCAAACATGACCGATATACGCGGTCCACAACAAGAGAATCTCCCACAGGAGTAGAAACATAAACGGGGCACTCAAAGAATCCCGAGGCACACCCAAATGCGAAGCAAAATAAGAAGACACATAAGAATAAGTAGAGCCTGGATCGAATAGAACTGATGTCTCTCTGTGACAAAACAAGTATAATACCTGTGATGACGGAATCGGAGGCAATCGCCTCAGTGCGAGCAGGAATACAATAACATCTGGCCCGACCCCTCTCGCGAGGGCGACCTCTATCTCCCCGGCCTCCGCCCCTGGCTGGCTGGGCAGGTGGGGCAGCAGCTGGAGCTGTGATCATAGCCTGAGAACTCTGAGGAGCCCGCTGCGGTTGAGCAGTCTGTGAAGATGCACCCCTACCAAGTCTGGGACAGTCCCTAACCATATGGCGTGTATCGCCACACTCGAAATAAGCTCTGGGAGGACGCGGTGGTTGTGACTGGCTGGGGCTAGGCCTGCTGGACTGACCTCTAGAAGTACCCCGCGCAGGAGGCGCGCTAGAAGTTGGAGGCGCATAATAAGGCTCCTGAGGTGTAGGCGGAGTTGGAGTACTGCCGGCTGCTGGTAAAGCCGAATGTACAGGACGACCAGAATAACCCCTACCATAACGACCTGCTGATGGGGTACGAGCACCAGAGTAGTGACCCGACTCTCGAGACCTCTTGGCCTCCCTCTCCCCTCGCTCCCTGGAGAGCATACCCTCAATCCTCCTAGCAATGCTCACTACCTGCTGGTAAGGAATATCCATCCCCAACTCTCGAGCCATGCTGGACCGGATGGGCGGAATAAGACACTCGATAAACATCCCCGAAACATCCCCGTAACGGAAGCGGCAGATGTGACCGAAACATCCCGTCGGCGCAGTTCCCTAGGCATTTAATGCTTGCCAGTTGATGGTCGGCCACTAGTGGTTTCGAACCGTCGCCGTAAAACCCATAAATAGGCCCTTTTCTCATTGATTCAAATTTTACTTTCAATTTCTATCAATCTCCAAAGCTTTTTACATCTTTTAAGTTTTTCCGTTCTGCATAATCTTTAGGTTTTGTTATCAACCTTCTCTCAAAACACCATGTCTTTTTCTCTTCTTCTTTCTTCAAACCCAAAATGGCGATAACATCCAAAACTGTGTCGTGGAAAGAAAAAGCTTCCTTATCTAAGCCGGCAGGCGAACAACTAGCGGCGGAGCGACTCCCTGAAGAATTCTTTCCTCTGTTGTGTGTCCTTGACTCCGATTTCAAATTTGAAAAGACCTCCTCGGTTCCAGGCCGATATGAGCCGATGTCGAGGTACATATACACAATCACTAGTGGCCTTTTAAAGCAAGTTAAAAAGGACTGCAACTGGTTAGACAAGCACGTGGTGGTGCCCTCACCCGAGGAGTCAATCACTACGCATGTGGAGGGGGTTTTGAGTGTTAGCCTTGTGGTCGTGGGTTCGAGCCCCACGGTGGGCGCAAACTGTTTACCCTTAAAATTGGATAATAATTAAACTTATAATGTGGTTTTAAGGACACGTGATTTCACCTAATACCAATTGATAAATGTAAAGATTAGTAATAGGAACTAACAATAAGATAAAGCAAACCAGTGTTTGAATGGAGTTCAGCCCTCGAGCTCGAATACCCTCAAGCTTATTGGTATAAGAACAGTTAAAAATATAAGCAAGCTGATGAACAAGAGTATAAATTAAAGAGAAATTGTTATGTTGCTTTTATATCTCAGAGTGTAAGTGCCCTACAAATGATTGGGACTCCTCTTTATATAGTAGACGAATCCTAATTATGGTATAATTCCAATTACATAAGGAAATCCCATGATTTGCTAGTTAACCGTCCTCAATTTGATCCGTTCCAAGATTTTCGCCATGATCTCCGACCAGTCACGGATATCTCGCATTTCTATTTTTATGCTACCTTCGATCTTACTCGATGTCTGTCTCATTTGGTCTCAATCACTACCGGCCTCGATCTTGACAGGCACCTCAAATCTCGAATTCGGTACCTTGTCCTCGTGCATTGATCCGATCTGTTACAGGATTGATCTTCGAGCCTTCACACTGGTCTCGATAAATCAGTATAACCGTACACAATTTTTCCGGAAACTTTTTCAACACCAACACAATGGCGGTCTAGTACTTCTATATTATTTTATTTTATTTAAAAAAGATAGATTACTTACCCCCTACTTTGTGTGAGATAGTAAAACTGTCATAAATAATTTAGGTTAACAAATATACGTAATTGCCTATGATAATTTTAATTAAGTAACACAAAATACAGTAAATAATCTGATATAATTAGTTAGAAACACTAATAACATAAAAAAAATGTTCGTCTTAAAGTTTTTTGCAGTGATGGTATCAAAAGTGTTTATATTATCAGATTATTCGTTAAGTAATTATTGGTAAAATCATTTAATAAATATTAACTAATAATTTAGTAAACTAGCTATACTCGTTATTACAATTAAAATCCACTAGTATAAAAATAGTAATGAAACTTGACTTCTGAGTTCTTAACCAAAATTGACGAAATAAAATAAAAAAGATTCTATTTCATGTCTTAAATGAGATGACTGGACTAGAATTGACATTATTCTAATAGATAGATAGTATGGTAGAAATTAGGGCTGGGCATAATTTGGTAAATACCGAATTACCATACCGAAACCGAAAATTTTGGTATTTGGTATACGGTATTTTGGTATTTGATATGGTATTTGGTTTAAATTTTTTTAAAAAATGGTATTAGGTATGGTATTTGGTATTTTAAAATAAAATACCGAATTACCAATACCGTACCGAAATATATATTATATTACACAAAACACATATTATCAATTATAACATAAATATAAAAAATCAAAAATTTTACTTTCTTTATTCTCAAAGTTCATCAATTAACTCTAAACAAGTAACAAGACATTTCTAATGATCAATTCTTTTATGTACAATTTTCTCTATTTGGGTCGATATTTGCTAGTTTTGGACAAAATTTTTGTCAACAAACATTTTTAGTTTTGTATTTTTGAGTACTTTAATTAAGAATATTAGAGTGTATGGCTCTATGCACTAGTTAGTATTCAAACCGAATAAACCGAAGTTACCGAACCGAATAAACCGAAACCGAAAGGAGAAAAACCGAACCATACCGAATTTAATTAGGTACGGTATTGGTATAGGATTTTAAGAAACCGAATACCGAAAATACCGAACCGAAATGTCTAAATACCGTACCGTACCGACCGACGAACACCCCTAGTAAAAATAAAGATTCATCTATTTCTTTCTTTCTACCATACTATTTATTATTGGAATAAAATAAAGATAGAGGCTGCTTATATATAACTTATATCCAAATATTTATAGTGCATGTATATAAGTTACAATCGTATTTCTCTCTTCAAACTATTCATCCCTACAATTTCTATCTCATATCTAATAATCACCAAAAATGGATGAACTAATATTTCCCTCGGCCTCAATTTCTCAAGAAAACCAGCCATCAACACTTGAACAGAGGCTTCAGTATATCCTCAAAAGTCAAACAAATTCTTGGGCTTACGCCATTTTCTGGCAAACCACCTCTAATAAAGACAACAATGGAAGTTTTTTCTTAACTTGGGGTGATGGCCATTTTCAGGGAAGCAATAAAGACGTAGAATGGTTCTACGTGTTGTCACTGGCTAAGTCTTATTCTGGTAATGAAGGGGTTATTGGAAAAGCTTTTAGTACAGCTTCTTTTGTGTGGCTAAATGGGGCACAACAACTTCAGTTTTGTAGCTGTGAAAGGGCTAAAGAAGCTCAGTACAATGGCGTTAAAACTCTTGTTTGTGTTCCAATTTCAAATGGGGTGCTTGAATTAGGCTCGAGTGATATAATCAAAGAGGATTGGACCTTGGTTCAACAAGTCAAGTCTTTGTTTTGTTCAGTGCAAGAAAATGGTCCAATTAACTTTCTTGATCAAAATAGTACCATTTATTTTGCTAATTTTGATTTTGTTACCGGCATGCAAATAGATGTTCAAGAATCAGACAACAACAGTAGCAAAAAGGTAGCTACAATGAGCCATGCTTCATTCCTAGATTCAGAGCTATCGAATTCAGATTGCCAATTACTAGAACATCCGCTGCAGAAAAGTAGAGTTGGATCTAAGGTGGGTTCTGAAATTATTGCTTTCAACTCTCTCTATATATATATACGATGAACCTGTCTATATACAACAACAACAACAACAAATCCAGTATAGTTCCACGAGTGTGGTCTGGATAGTACCTAGACTTTATCCCTATAGTGAAGTAAATGTAGAGAGGTTGTTTTAAGTAGACCCTCGACACGAGAAAAAATAAGAAATCGTTCTTCTCGTTTTGATGAAAAAAGTCTTCTATGAAGAACTTTTCTAACCAAACGTCATAAATGACTTCCTAATGAAAATTGTTTTTCTAGAAATTAAATGACTTTGGACACATCAAACACGTTCTAATTAAGAAATGACTCATTCTGAACGAGCTGACTTTAAATTATGAATTCGCCTCGCAGATCAGAAGGACCTACAGGAAAAGGGAAAGAAAGCCGGGAGTAGATTGCGACAAGCAAATGAACCACGTAGAGGCGGAGAGGCAGAGGAGGGAGAAACTCAACCACCGATTCTACGAGTTGCGCTCGGTGGTTCCGCAAGTTACGAGAATGGACAAAGCCTCATTGCTATCAGACGCAGTGGCCTATATCAATGAACTCAAAGCCAAAGTGGATAAATTGGAGTCAAAACTTCATAGAGTCTTGGAGCTCAAGAAGAAACCGCAAATGGAACACAATGACGCTGTGGACAACCAAAGCTCTACCAATTCGGTGGATCACGTAAGCCCTTCTCCAATTTTAAAATAGTCTAAAACTATGGATATTTTTTATAAATATAATCGGGCGGATTCACAATTTACTTTTTCTAATTTGGTGTACGTAAATTATATATAGTGATTATGCACATATAATGTATGAATTATAAGTATATTATATATTCGCCGGCTAATGATTATACACATATGATATTAAAGATTCATAGGAGTTACGTCCAATATCTCGAGGCTTACACCTCACCCCATATCAGATAATATAATTGAGCATAATTTTCAAGAATATATAATGTATATTATAAAAATATGTTTATTTAAATAATTATTTTTATATTACCTGCATGGAATATATATATTTTACAACCTTTATTTTCTTTCATTCTGAATTGTGTAAATACATTTTTGAATTTTTGTTGTTAATACTAAAATTATTATTACCATTTGAGTGACCATTACTCAAATGGTCACTTAACTATCTCAAATTATCTCGTAAAGTCACTTTTATTTCGTATGGTAGAAAAGACATGTTCATTTCATATGTTAGAAACAATCTGACTATCATTTTCTGCAACATTTCGGCCAAAAGAAAAATCAGACATTGAAGGTTGAAGTGAAGATGATAGGTCCAGACGCCATGATTAGAGTTCAATCAGAAGATGTGAATTACCCATCAACAAGATTGATGTGTGCACTTCAAGATCTTGAACTTCATGTCTACCATGCCAACATCTCAAGTGTCAACAACATTGTGGTTCAGGATATAGTGATTAGTGTTCCTAATAAGGGATTAAAAACTGAAGATGGATTAAGAGCTGCTCTTCTTACAAGCTTAGAGCAAATCGAGGCCTGTTGATAATTGCCTTGTCGTTTAGTTTTGAGCATGTACATAATTTTTAATTTCTGTCGTCTTTTCTTCTTCTTTTAGTAACTAAAATCCTTCTTTATATAGTTGAGTTTATTCATCTCCCTTACTCGTGGCAGTAGTATATTAGTCTTGTATTTTTATTCGTAGAGTTATATTTTTACATGTTATCTCTTTCGCTTCGGTTATTTTACTATATCATTGTTGTTATTATTTGTTGTTATTGCTCCTTTTCATTTTGCCCTTGAGCTGAAGGTCTTCGGAAACAGTCTCTTTATCTCTACAGGGTAGGAGTAAGATATGCGTACATACTACCCTTTCTCCAGACCCCACTTGTCGGATTTACACGGGGTATATTATTATTATTGATCTACTATCCAGAATTCACTAGTTCAACTAATTTGAATTCGTGTCATATGAACCAATTGAGAAAGAAGTGCTTCCAATCAGAGATTTTTCTCAATTCCAAGGGTTCAAACTCGAAACCTCTGATAATAACATGTCTATCCTGCTTGTTTATCCTGAAATTGAATTTAATTTATATGCATTAGTAGTGCAAAATATTTACGCATATATGGTTAAATTGTGGAAAACATGTAACTGTTTATAAATAAGCCTAATGTCGTAGCTTTATATTAAAAAATAAATGTGGCCTGCTTTAATAGATAAAAGTACGTACACTAATACTGCAACTTTTCTACAGTATATTCGCATGGATTCCCCTGTGAGGGACATGGCTATAATCACATGCAATCCTGTTACCCGTGACCCCTCCATTACTAGACAACTCTTTTTCTTTTTGTTTACCATATGGTATCCGGTACCCGCATTGGAGCCCGACTATATTCGGATTCGCGCCGCATAGGACCCCATATGAGGGGAAGCGCTCCCTACCAAGGATTTTTCCATATTCAGAGCTCGTACTCGAGACCTCTGGTTAAGGAAAGAGCAGTCTTATCCGCTCCACCACATCCGTTGGTCAGACAACTCACTAATCACATATTCATTTCTTTTAGTGCTAATGTTTTTCCCAGCCAATTAAACATCGACAATGGGTTCTTCTATTTGAAAACGACAAATTTACTCTTTCTTTTTTTTACTTTATGTGGTATACCTTCTTTTAGTATATTTTATTTTTTCTTTAAAAATAATTAACTTTAAAACTTTTTATTTTATCTTTCATGATAGATTTTTATTCTTCTTCCTATATAAGAAGCGCGGTAGAAACAAGCGAAGCAGAGACGTCTTCGTCGACATGCCAGCTTCCATCATTGTATATTTACCCCTGTTTTTCGATGTTATTACATTAACTACCATCATACAATTTGGTAAAATAAAGGAAACTTTTGAGGTATTTTCAAAGCTTGCTTTATCTCCACAAATGCATAGTATAAAAACGTGGGACCCATAATTTAGTGAACAAATGAAATTTTGGGTGAGTTCCGACAGATGCATAGTAGTACTCCCTCCTGTCCAAAATAAATAATTTTTTGGATGTTTTCACACAGATTAAGAAATTCATCTTTTAGCATTAATTAGCAATGAAATTGACCATATTAGCCTTTACTATCTCACATAGACACTCCTAACACATACTCCAAGGACAATGTAGGAAAAAAATAATTGATTCATTCTTGAAATCTGAAAGTCACTTATTTTGGACCACAAAATAAAGGCCAAAAAATCACTTATTTTAGACCGGAGGGAGTAGTATCTAAACGTGGGACCCAACATATTTACCCAAGAGTTCTCCATATATACATAGAACAAATTGTCAGACCAGCCTTGAAAGTTAGCATCAGTTTATAAGCACATAATACAAATGCTTCAACCAAATCTAAGATTTTCTAAATCAAGTATATTTGGCTGCTCATTTATTTCGAGCACAGAAATTAAAAAGGAAATTGTATTTGAATTCAATGAAATATATAAGTTTTATGCAATTACGACCTAATAGATAACTAATTGTTGAGTTTGAATAGCAAATATGTTAAATCAACATTTAAGCTTGAATATATAAAATTGACAAGTTAGAGCGTAGCAGAATGAATTCACTAAATATAAAAAATAATATAGCAAAATAAATTCACTAAATAAAAAATATAGCAGAATATATGCTAGGTTTAAGTTCAACCTATGTCAATAAGTTAATAATTAACATTATAAATTCATGAAAGAAAGTAAATACACTACTGTAACATTTTGCATTTAAGTAGTTTGTAATGCTTTCAAATAGTAGTACAATTACTTGGGCGCCAACTCATTCAATAATGTGCATTTTTTTTTCCCAATAAAAGTAATATTATGTAAATAAAAGTTATTATAAAATTTTACATTAGTTTTGCAACTTTAAAATGAGTTTCTAATTTAATATATGGTAATATGAGCCACCAAAATGGGGCAGAAATTTTTTTTGTTTTGTCTATTTTTGTTGAAGTCAGGTGTCCGCCTGGAGAACAAAGGAATACATTCAAGTTTTAGCAGTCACGAGCCCGCCTGGAGAACAGAGCAATACATTCAAGCCAGCAGTCAGGAGCCCGTCTGGATAGCAGATGAACACATTTCAAGTAGCAGTCAGGAGCCCGCCTGGAGAACAGAGGCATACATTTCAAGTTTCAGCAATCAGGAGTCCGCCTGGAGAACAGAGGCATACTTCAAGTTTCAGCAATCAGGAGCCCGCCTGGAGAACAGAGGTATTACAATTCAAGTTTTAGTTTTCAAGTTCTTAATAATATCTGGTAGTATGATGCCCAGCCACCAAACTGGGGCAAGAGATTTTCTTTGTTGTATTGTTGAAATCAGGAGCCCGCCTGGAGAACAGAGGTATACATTTCAAGTTTCAGCAGTCAGGAGCCCGCCTGAAGAACAGAGGCATACGTTTCAAGTCATCATCCTCGATGTTAAACTCAGAATAATAAGCAAACCCCTGCGGAGTCACTGAATAAGAAAATCTACCGGTTACTTTAAGGCTAACCGAACGCCTCCGCTCACTCATTTTTTTACGTAACAACGATACCAATGTATCGTACTCCATATTAAGCGGCAATGTAACATGACACCGTGGAGGTGAGCTATACCTCACAGAGTTATTCTCCACCACAACCTCACCCCCCCAATACAGCGAAACCCTTATTTTTGGCACTTCAGACATTGTAAAAAATTGATTGATAAGGATAAGAGAGAATAATGAACGTATGTTTGAAGTTTAAGTGTTAAATGAATTTTTATAAAATTGAAACGTCTATAAATAAGGCAAGTCCGAGCTTGGGGTGTACAATTTTTCAAAGTAATTCGCAGTATTATACTGCGTTTTACGTATTTGAATTATTGTTATGTCAATTAATTATTGGTGGGGCCCATCTCAAGCGATTCGCATTATTATACTGCGAATTGCATAAAAAAATTATTTTTTTAATATTTTGCAGTATCATACTGCGAATTGTTTTAACGGCAAAAATTTCGTTAACCCTATTCGCAGTATAAAACTGCGAAGTACTCATTAATGTAACTTTTTTTTAAAACATTTAAAAAGTGTTTTTTATACAAAAAATCATTAATTAAGTTTCGGACTCACATTTTAAGACCACAAATCCTATAAGTTTTTTATTTTTTTTCTTGAACTTTATGTCTAGACAAACACTATCACATGAAATAAGACAAGGGAGTAGTCACATCATAGGAACTTTATGTCTAGACAAACAATATTCCACATTTAAGTTGGCCGTCCATATTCTACTAATTAACATTAACTTTTTCTACAAAAATCAGAAGTAGGTTAACTTCTTTTTTTTTTTCACAAGAATTTACAATATCTCTGGAATAGGGTATAAAATATGAAAATAAATGTCATTTCGTGCAAAATAAATAGGTTAACTTGTTTTGCCAAATATCTCTGTCCTTTGCAAGAGCAGAAGTGGCTGTCCTACTAAGTTTGGAACCACAAAAAAGTAGTTAATTTTAATTAAAAGAAGAAAGAAAAAGAAAGAAGAAATATATCAGACTCATCTGAATTCGACAAAAGCTTAAACTTCAGCAATATTTGGCAGTATGCATTATGAGCAAACATGTGTTTTTTTTTTTGGTTCAGCAAACATGTGTTATAATAAACAACTCATAGACCTTGTCAATATTAAAGGACACTCCTAAATGTTTGGACTCTGGTTCGGGAATTAGCCCGGGTATTATTACTTTTATTTTGCGACAGAAATTATTTATATTTTTAGTCGAAAAAATACATATAATTTGTATAATTTTTGTCCGGCAACACATTCCGCTAGATAAACAACTAAGGAAAGAGAAAAACAATGATAAGTGTCCTCTTTTACTACGATTTCCCTCAACAACTTGACCAAGTAATGGAATAAACATCAAATTTGAACGAGAGAGCTTT